TTAGGGAGGAAGAAGCAGCTGTTTTGGGGTCGTTTTTGGACGGAGAAGAGGGCTAGTTTGATGGTAGAGTTTTGGGACTATTTTCTGGGTCTGTTTTGGAGGCTGATTTCTGGTGCGTTTTTGCTGGATTTTTGTTACGTTTGAGCTCTTGTTTGGACTGATTTTCGCTGGAGTTTGGTTGCTGGTTTTTGGTGATGTTTGGGTGCTTTACATGGCAATTTTAATGGAGGAAAATATGATTTTTTGGTGGTAATCTGGACTGGTCTTTCATGGTGATTTGTGGGTATATAAATAATAAAAAATAAGAGAGGAAGAGTGTAGGAAGAGGGTGATGAGACAAGAGAATAATGAAAGGGGAGTGAGATGTGACACGTGAATAGTGTAATAGGTGGGTGATGGGACAAGAAAATAGTGTAGGGAAGGTAGGAAATAATTTTATTAGATTTCGTCTGTGATTAAAATAAATTCTTTCGTCCTCTATATAATAGACTTTGTTAAAAATATTGCATATTCTCTATAAAGCCTACTAATAAAAATAACAAAAAAGTTAAAATATCAAGATTGAACCTAGAAGATATTAAATATAAAAAAGTGATGAAAATTCAAATATAGTCAAAAATTAGGTGTTCATAACTACAATACATTAGCTAATTCTACAAAGTGCTACAACATACATAACACAAGATACATGGTGTGGGCAACATGCACACATTAAAACCAAACTCCAAACTATGTAAAATCATCCCCAAATACCACACACTTAGCCCAATATCACATACAACTATACTTGGTTACTCAGACTTCACCGATGCACAAGGTACTCATTCAAATATTTTAGCAAACACATTGTGGGCATGAAGTGTGTGCAACTTAGTTCAACAATGGTGGAACATGGTGGTCCTCCGAAATTTTAATTGAGTAGAAGGAATTCTAGTTTACTACTTTGTATACAACATAACAACAAAGTTGTCACGACCAATTTTGTTCCATATTCGGGCTACCCACCATAGTACAAGTTCTAAGAAGCAACTTATGGGAGAATTTAGGGATTAAGGCATTTGGGAGGGGGGAGTGTTGATTATCATCTACCAAACAAAAGAAAAGGAAGAAGAATAGGAACATACCTGTAGGATTTAGGATGATAGCAAAAGAAAGCTTGAAAAACTTGAGAGAGGGGAGGAGGAGGGGTCGCGGCAGAGAGAGAGAGAGAGAGAGTGAAAGGGGGAGTTTGAGTTATGTTGTAATTTGTGGTGGGGATGGGTATGGGTTATAATGTTAGGATAGATGGGTATATGGGTCGGGTTTTATGGGTATGTATATTAACTTAATAAAAAAAACAAAACAAAAACGAAAAAAATTAATTAATACTTACCTGCCCCCAGCCCAGCGCCCCACGCTAGGCCTGGCGCTGGGGGCTCCGAGCATTCTGTAAATTGCGCCCCAGGCAGCGTGGGGCATTGGTTCTCCGATTTTTTTTTTTAAATGAAATCCCCGTCCCCCGAGCACTTTATATATCCAATTTACATACCCACACCATTCTACCTATAATTTCTATGTCTACAAAGAAAAAAATATCTAGTCTACTCTAACTAAAAATTAAAAAAATTAAACTATGAAAGCAATAAAAATCGGGTTGTCTCCCAACAAGCGCCTGATTTAACATCGCGGCACGACGCAAAGCCTCGCTTACTCATCAGCGAGTACTACTTTGGTCTTCTCATGATCAATGATTCCTCCCCAATAGTGCTTGACTATATGCCCCTTCACTAAAAATATTCTTTCACCATGTTAAGCGCGCAACTCAATAGCACCATAAGGAGTGACTCTACCACCTCAAATGGACCTGACCATCTCGATTTTAACTTTCCAGGAAACAAGTTGAGCCTAGAATTGAACAATATTACTTGTTGGCCCGATTCGAAGTGACGTAGCTTGATAAGCTTGTCATGCCATCTTTTCATTTTCTCTTTGTAAATCTTAACATTTTCATAAGAGTGTAGCCTGTACTCATCCAACTCATTCACCTGCAAGAGTCTCATGGAAAGTCCATATTCAACTTTTTAATCGCCCAGTACGCCTTGTGTTCAAGTTCAACAGGCAAGTAAAATGACTTCCCATAAAGAAGCTTGTACGGCGACGCCCCAATTGGTGTTTTGTATGCAGTTCTATATGCCCACAAGGCATCATCTAACTTTGCAGCCCAATCCTTCCTATTCACACTCAGTGTCTTCTCTAATATTTTCTTTATTTCTATGTTGGACACCTTAGCTTGTCTACGTTTTGCGAATGATATATCGTGGAAACTCTGTGGCGGACCCCATATTAAGCTAGAAGGTTATCCAACAACCGATTGCAAAAATTTATCCCTTCATCACTAATCAAAGCGCGCGGAGTCCTAAACCACGAGAATATGTTCTTCTTCACAAAAGCAGCTACCATGGCATCATTGGTTGGAAACGTGATCGCCTCTACCCATTTCGACACATAGTCAACTGCTAGCAAGATATATTTATTTCCTCTGGACAATGAGAACAGTCCAATAAAGTTTATCCCTCACACATCAAAAATCGCGACCTCCAGGATATTTTTCAAAGGCATTTCATGCCTTTTTGTGATTGTCCCTGTTCTTTGACACTGGTCACACTTCTTAATAAATGCATAAGCATCCTTGAACAATGCTGGCCAAAAGAACCCAGATTATAGCACCTTTGCAGCTGTCTTATCGCCTCCATGATGGCCCTCATAAGGTGAGGCATGGAAATCATACAACACTAATTCCACCTCATTTTCTGGAATGCACTTCCTCATCAACTAATCAACACACTGTTTGTACAAGAATGGCTCATCCCAGTAGTAGAAGTTTACATCATGTGAAAACCTCTTTCTAGCTTCAGATTCAATTTTAGGAGGAAGTACCCCACTCACAAGATAATTGACATAGTCTGCGTATCATGGGGAGGGTCTTGGGTGATAGCAAGAAGTTGCTCATCAGGGAATGCCTCCTTAATTTGTCCACCTTCCTCCACATGCTCATGATTTTCTGGCCTTGATAGATGGTCGGCTACTTGGTTTTCTGTGCCCTTCCGATCTCGTATTTCTACATCAAATTCCTGCAATAATAAAACCCAGCGCATCAATCTAGCCTTGGATTCTTTTTTTGTAAATAAATACCCGATTGCCGTATGATCAATATGGACTATGACTTTTGTTCCCACAAAGTATGCCCGAAATTTCTCAAAGGCCCACACAACGGCCAACAACTCCTTTTCAACGGTGATGTAATTCAGCTGTGCATCATTAAGAGTTTTACTCGCATAGTAGATGAAGTAGAATATCTTGTCTTTTCTCTGGCCTAGCACTGCCCCAATAGCATGGTCGTTTTCATCGCACATAAGTTCAAATAGTAAGGACCAATTTGGTGTTGCAATAATAGGGGCAACCACTAACTTCTTCTTGAGTTCCTCGAATGTCTTCAAACAGGCTTCATCAAAATTGAAGGTTACATCCTTTTCAAGCAACCTGCACAAAGGAGTAGCATTTTTTGAAAAATCCTTAATAAAGCGTCTATAGAACCCCGCGTGTCCCTAGAAACTACGGACACCCTTCATAAAAATGGGTGGAGGTAATTTTTCAACCGCTTCCACCTTCGCCTTATCAACTTCAATGCCACTCCTTAACACTCTATGGCCCACCACGATACTTTCTTGTACTATAAAATGATACTTTTCCCAATTGAACACCAAATTTATTTCTTCACAACGGGCCAGTACCATGCTCAAATTCTTCAAACAATCATCATAAGAAGAATATGCGTCATGCACCTCTAGAAGTAGCCGGCGCATTACAAAGGACAAATGGCATTCGCTTGAAAGAGAAAGTACCATAAGGACAAGTAAAAATGGTCTTCTCCT